GCGCGCGGGGCGGAGGGGTCACGCACGGGGGCGGTGGCTTTTGCCGCGCACCGGGGGCGGAGGGGTTTGGCCGGTTGCCGCGCACGGGGGGCTGAGGGGTTTGGCCGGTGACGCTCGAACGGCCACTGGCGACACGGGCCGGCGTTGCCAAACTTCCCGGACGAAGGAACAGGACGAGAAGGATGTGAAAATGGTTTTTTTTGTTTTTCTTTTTCATAAATGTGGTCCACGTAGATAAATTTCAACCAATGAAATTGTTTTTGTCAGTGCTAAGGGCTGTTGCTTGTACAAGCAATTCACAAAAAAATTTAAGAAATCCAGCTGCCATGTAGGACAAGTCCAACGAGAGTTTGTTATAAGGAACGGTGCTTAACAATAAGAAACCCTTCAAGCACCCTCCGTTGGAGATGCTCTAAGAGAGATAAATGAGACTATTAATGGTGTTTGACAAAAGCTACGTGGATGGGACAAAACATTTGATGAAAATCAAAAGGCCGAGGTAGGTTTTCATGAAAAATAGTAAAAAAATACCTTGCTCTCATACCTTGAGACAGAATAAGTAAGGCCTAGTAGAATGGGGAATGAGATTCTCGAGGTGAGTTCGAAAAATGCTAACCGAACTAGATGACCTTAAGATGAAATAAGGAAAACGCAAAGTTGGGTCAAATAAGAGGAACTCGAAAAAGAAACTGGAGAAATCAAATAAGCCACAAAAGTCTGAAACGGTTAGAGCAGTTCAGAGAAGTTACCTGGTAACTACCCAAAACTCACTCGAGAGAATATGAGAACGTGGGAGTAGCAGTTAGTGGAAGTTAAGAGCGATGGAGAGAAGTTACGACACGTGAACGTCCCACGATGAGAGTAAGTGCAAGTAACTGCTTTAATGAAACGTCTATACATATTAGATGTGATTTCTCCTAAAGGGGTCAGAAATTCATGCTTAAGAATTCTCACGAGCACTTATTGCTTGCACATACGACGCCTGTGTACAAGTTTGTTGAGTATGATTTCTTGCCCTTTTTCTTTATTTCCGTAGCGTAGAATAGTGTAGTCTAGTTTCATAATTCAACTTGTTTTAGATTATCATGAATTGTAATTCATAATTTGTATGAACTGATCAATTATGATTTTTGTTGTTAATATACATGTTGCATATTCAATCTACGGGGAAACTTGCACGCATGATGTTCACATGTTAATAATCATCGACGCATCTCTGGAAATGAATACATGATTAACTACTCCCTATCATTCTCATCTTTATTCTAAAAAGGCTATTCTAAAAGGCGCAAACATACTTGAATTGAAATAGTTCGTGCTAGTTCGAACAAAAAGAATCTATTTACGAAAATCTCCACAAACAAGTGTATAAACATGAATTATATTTATAGTATATAAATATAAATAGTTAAAAGTCACTTGGGCAAACATTATATTTAAACATAAAATTTTGTACCGGTCCATTTTACATTTGCCACACTTTCCTTCCTATTCTTGTCTACAATAATATTCATGTCAAACTTTATTTTTTTATCATACTTTCCTTGTGTATATAGCAAAGTTTAAATTTTGCAGTGTCTCCTTGACCATTTCTCCAACCCATTTTATTCATCGAAGACACGTGATATTAATCATTTTTGGAATCACGGTATCCATCACCTCTATAGACTTACTAATATTAAAATACTAATATATAAAGTATCAAATCCAGTTAGGTACTTGGAGTAGCCTGTCTAGGGTGTGTTTATTTTATCGTTTCAACGTCGTTTAACTGAATTTTTCCATTTTCTAAGACAGAAACGTAGAAGCAAGAGGAGAGATGGATTGACGTTCAGTTGAATGAAACGGAAAAATAAACACACACTTGGTTTCTTTCGTCTTGAAAAATGTGAGAACACTTTCTCAGTTAACACTATACATTGACATAAATAATGTGGTGATTATTAACTCATTTTGCACTCTGATTGAATCATACAATTCACAAGAGTAAACATATGATATAGAATAGTTGTATACGAAAAGATACTCAAAAGAGATACTTGTTGATAAGAAACAAAATTGGTTAAAAGAGTTTGAACACGTGTAATAGAGTTACTCCCTCTATTTTTTATTTATAGTCGTTTAAGTTTTTGCATGGAACTTAAGAAAATGATTGATATTTTAGTTTTCAAAAATATTTATTACTTACTTTTTTATTCTACCCTCTATTTTTTTATAGTATTTCGTTGGAAACATATTGCCATTTTAAATGCAACATTAACTTCACATAAGTAGTTGAAGAAAAAATAAGTAGACATTAGAAATAAATAGACACATTGTTCATTAAACATACATTAATTATCAGGAGTAAAAATAAGAAAAAAAAAATAACAAGTCATTGATTTTAGTAAAATGACAATGAAAAAAAATGACAAATTCTGACAAAACGACTATGAATTAAAAACGGAGGGAATAATTTTTAGCGTACAAAAAAATAGAGGAAGAAAATCATTAAAAATAAGCTTATAATAAATAATATCTTTACGATTTATTTTAATTAAAATTAACATCATAAGGTTCATATAGTTTTTACATCACCCAAAAGAATTCGTATATTGATATTATTTTTTTAAAATTAGATATAATTAATTTTCAAGAAATTAATTTTAAACTATAAACAATGTTTTAAAATAAAATAAAATTACTATAGAAGCTAAATCTTTCTCTGCAAATGTTTTATGTAATTAAATATTTTTTTATTCATTAAAATTATAATAATAACGCCAAAATTTGAATGAAAGATATTGAACATTCTACAATAATCTCTCACTAGTCACTACAATAATTGCATACTAAGACTGAAATTTTGAAATCACTTATTAAAGAAATATTTTAAATGTGTTTTAAGTGGTTTTAATTGTAAATATATATTTTTATAATCAAATTTGTCTATACATAAAATTCGAATTCAATACCTTTCTTGAAATACCGAGTTCGATACCACTCATATGATAAATTTATATTTAAACATAAATTTTTATTTTAAAAAAATAGAAATATTTTACTTTAATAAACAGGCTGGTAACCTCTGACGAACTTATACATTACTGATGCAGTAGAAACCGACCGCACGAGTCCAGTCCATATAATTAGTGATAATGAGTATAACCCCACATCGGATACCGCAGCGCAAAATTCGCACCTGTTTGCCTCCAACGCCAACAACACACACGGTGGACTCATACACAACAATTCCTCTTCTAAAAGTTTCAACACTCATACATGCTTAAATATGCTTTATGGTTCCGTGTACATTTATTCATGGCAAATTTTTGTCTTTTTTATATCTCCATATTTTACTCTTAGTTTTTAATTTTTATTATTAATTCTAATTAGTTTTTTCATAGATATAAAGAATATTTTTAATTAAAATAATTAAATTATTTTAAGTACATAATTTAATTAAGTAATATATTTTTATTTTATATAAATTAGATAGTTACATATAATTTGTTCTATAACTCATTATTAATTTTAATATACTATGATGAACGATTTTTATTACTTTTGATGTATTAAAAATTTTCGATTTATGGATTTAATTTTAATATTGTAATTTTTAAAATATTATAATTTACATAGATATTAATAATGTAGATTTAATATATTACTTTTACACCAATCAATTGTTAGTAATTTTTTTAAATAAATCTTCATATTTTAATCTTATAAACAAAAAATATATAATTGAAAGAAGAAATTTTCTTATGATATTTTTATATTTTAATTCATTAATTGTAACGAATTATAATATATTTGTTACAAATAATGATTTTGAAGATAAAAGTAATATACTGAAATTATATTATAATAAACATTTAAATAATCTTTTAAAAATTCATTATTAAAAGTAAATTAGTTTTAAAAGTAAAAACGGTTTTAAAAATAATAAAAATATTGTTTATAATATATGAAATTTAAAATTAAATTATGCAATTAATTTATTTATATAAAACCATAAATATAGTACTTAATTATATTATGTACTTAAAAATAATCCAAATATTTTGATTTCAAATAAATTTTATTATCTTAATTAGTATTTTCTATTTTATTGATCATACTAAACACTGAAACTAAGTTAATAATAAAAGCTTAAAAAGAATGCTAAGAAAATACCATGATTTGACAGTCATATTTTTTTAAAATTAGACAACTATTTACATAAAATCAAACACATATTTAACCTATCATCATTTATTTGCAGCGAGACGACACTATTCATCATTCAGATTCAAATTATTAAATTATAAACAGAAAATCATTAAAATAATGAGCGGAATTCCCATATAATTTCACACATTTTAAAGAACTCCACTCAGTAAAAAATGTATTTGAGGAATAAGAAAGAAAATATATTATTCTCATTTGTCTGCCTCGTATCTGAGCCACTTTAATTATTCTGATGTGTCCAAACCGATCGAGGCCAAACTGAAACCTGTTCCTCATGCAAAGCCATTACTCAACATGTAACATGTACGTGTCATCACCCCGCAACACCACCTTTCAATATAACACCACCTGTGTCACGCTCTAACCCTTTGTAACATGCATTTCTAGTTCTCTTGTTTTTCTTTTCTTAGTTCTCTTTTGTATCAACTTCATTGCTATCCCAAACTTCACCCTCAACCATGAATGATCGCACACAAGCACCGGCAGTACCACTACCACACCACGTCACAGATCCAGATCGCACACAAGCACCTGCGCCACTACCACACCAAGTCCAAGTCCACACAACCACACACCGCTACGAATCCGGTGTTGTTGCCCCACAGCGTTTCGAAGGTGGTGGTTTCATTGCACCGCGTTACGAAGGTGGCGGCAAGAGTAGTAGTCATTATTACTCTTCAGAGAGAGGCCCATCAGCCTCTCAGATCCTTGCAGTTGTCGCCGGCTTACCGGCCGGCGGCACTCTGCTGCTTTTGGCTGGACTTACTCTGGCCGGAACCTTCACTGGGCTGGCGATCACCACGCCGCTTTTCATTCTGTTCAGCCCAGTGCTGGTTCCGGCCACAGTCGTCATAGGCCTGGCTGTGGCCGGGTTTTTGACGGCGGGGGCTTTTGGGCTCACGGCACTGTCCTCCTTCTCCTGGATCGTTAATTACGTCCGGGAGATTCAAGGGACAGTGCCGGAGCAGCTTGAAGCTGCGAAGCTTCACCTAGCGGATGCAGCTGGTTACGTGGGGCAGAAGACAAAGGAAGTGGGGCAGAAGACCAAGGAGGTTGGTCAAGACATACAGAATAAGGCTCAGGATGCAAAGGATTCAACTTATGCAAGGGATGCCAGAGATGCTGCTTATGCAAGGGATGCGAGTTATGCGAGAGATGCTAGTTATGCAAAAGATGCTGGTTATGCAAGGGATGCAAAAGATGCGAGTTATGCAAGGGATGCAAGAGATGCGAGTTATGCAAGGGATGCAAGAGATGCTACTTATGCAAGGGATGCAAGGGATGCGAGTTATGCAAGGGATGCAAAGGATACAAAGGAAGTAAAGAGAACATCAGTAACTGCAACAACTGCAACAACAGCAATAGCATGAGTATCGTGATGGAGGGTTTTATAATGTGTTATGGTGCGGTTTATGTCGGGAAATAAATGGTGTACCTCTTGGGTTGCACTTCTCAACATTTGTGTCTTGTATTCTATGTAGGTTTGTGTGTTTTGCTGTCTAGCTTTGGTTAAGTAGAGGGGACGTTCATTCGTTCATGTCATGAAAGGGGTACTACCACTCTGTTCTGTATATGGATGCTGGCAATGTGTTTTTTACTAGTTCACTTTAATTTTTGAATTCAATGTGAAATATGTTATGCGTTCGTTTATGTAATCGCTTTCTTTCTTATCCAAGGATCAAAATTCCGTACAACAAAACCAATGTGCTTTTAGAACAAACTGTGCTTTGTTGATAATTCTTTCATCGTGTTGAAAATCATATTACTAGCATATTTTTCCGACAGTACAACACTAAATAACAGGACTTCAGAAATGCTATTTGCATCAGCCAATAACATTTTTCCGGTATATGGAAGCTGAGCTGCGAAAATAGCATAATAGATAAGCATGTTAAGGAGGAAATTATAAGTTTTTCTTCGTTTGTTCTTCAATGAGAACAGTTGGTTAATTTATAGTCAAAACTCATGGCTTTATCAGACGCATGATACCTCCGCTTTTCTTCCGTTAGTGAAAAAGCGAGACTAGAGAACAAAATGGTTAGGTGAGCTTATTAAAACGTCTAACCAATAGATAACATTCAATGTATTGCTAAAACATGGAAATAATTTGCATTTTGTGATGGAATATACAATTGACAACATCCTCGAGCTTCTTCAAAATTTTCTTGAAATGTATACAAACTAAGAAGCTTGCCAAATACAGAACGCAATAGTTAATTTCTAGACAAAACAACAAAATTTTAGCTTAGGCTGGGAGAGGAAGAAAATATTCAAGTTCAATGGAGAAGTGGCTGGGGCGGAGCTCCAGCTTCAATGTCTGTGCCACCATACTCGGTTTTCAGCTTTGAATCATTATTGGGTATCCAAAACGTGAGAACACTTGAAGCAACAGCGAACATGGCCCTGCTAGGGGCCCACTTCAAGCACGACGGCACGCCAATATGGCTGCTCCAACATGCCACCTGCTCGAAAGAAAACCAGTGGTTCAACATATTTTGCACCAAACACTGATAACATATAAAATATTGGTTTAAAACGTGACATTTTTTTTTAGTCTTTGTAGAAATTTTAGTTATTTTAGTTCTTTTTTTTTTTACACCATTTATTTTAGTTCTTAAAAAGTATTAAAAAAAATTGTACTTTCAATACTTGACTAGTGACAAATCATATTTTTGTTAAATGTAGGGACTAAATAAAAAAAATTATAGGATCAAAACTAAAAATTAAAAACTGTCACCGAAAATCTATTTTAGCCTAAAAAATATATATTAATAAGCACAACCTTTTTCTTCTGACATCATGCTACTGTTTTAAAGTTTCACGTCTTCGTGTTCATGCCATGTTATATGTTTCAAATGGATAGGGGCATGTATAAATTCAAAAGTACAATATATATAAGCAACAAACAGTACACTCAGATCATAAAGCATAGTACATCATGAACTCATTGTCGACAGCAAGTAACAACAACGTACAGTAACTAATACAGGAATAAAAATTTGACTCCTTTAAAATGAAAATGAAGATAAAGTGTGGAGTTAAAACTGATGATTAAGTCAACGCCGTTATAAGTCTATATTTTATTTTTTTTCAAAACTAAAATTAAGACATACAACATTAAATCATTTACCAAATAAACTTATGCACGAATCAAAACCAAGAATATATCAATTGCGGTTGGCGGTCCATGATGGAAAGCCGAAAATCTACCGTCCAATATGGCATCACAAACAAATAGTAGAAGCATACGGAAGTTTGTTTCTTTTTTTGTATAAGGGGTATTTTTTTTTTTGAATATTTTTATCACTGTCTAGTGTGAAGTCAGAGTTAAGTCATGTATGGCGCATAGTCTTCAGTAATGCTCGAACAGAACCCTAGACATTTGGCGATGAGAAAACCTATAACATAATTGGTTTTAATGCACCAAGCTGGCCCTACAATGCCATCGGTTCAACAACACTGAAGTAATGGCATAAATTACACAGCTTAAATGGTTCCAGTAATACATCCATAAACATGTCTACATCTATGAACTACAAATGATGATTCAATCATCTGTCTAATTTTAAAGTATCCACTATCCTTTTAGAATTAAATAAAAAATGTATGTATAGCAGAATCATATCATAGTAGAAAATAGGGAATACCTCATTTTTCATCTCAATACTCCAAGCATGCATGGTTCCCCCTCCTGACCCTTGTACATCAAAATTAATAAATTTTATACTCGTTACATGTATCAAATGGAAAGTGTCAATGGTAGAGTAAAAGCAACTTTTCTTACATAGCCCAGATGCACAGTATCGACAATCCAATGAATCTATACTCATCAACTATAATTTCATTCAAAGAACCATGTATGATATATACTACAGATCTCATTTCATTATGGGCAGTACTCTTGAGCTCAACAAATTCAGTAAGCAAGAATAGAAAGGAAATGGTGCTTCATAATAAAATGACAGTACTCAATTTCAGGTCTAACAAGTCCTACAACTTGGCCAGTCATCTGCCTCCCGAGTATAATTACCAAATTGTGAATTGCTTTTATCAATAGCATATTACAGTCCATGGCAGAAAGCCAAAAATCAGCTATGCCACGTGGCAGAAAGTGTTAAAGGTAAGTAGGGGAAGCACAACATTCAAAATCAGTATTGTCAAACTGAGGTTAAGGTAGAGCAGGTTTGGTAGGAAATACATTTCACCATTAATGGCTTCATGGTTTTCAGGATTTAGCTGTTTGAGGCCAAAACCAACATGATGCCATATAAGCAAATGATAACAGTCTATGCTTTCTCAGACATTTCAAGGGCTTTTTTTTGGTTAAACAAATGTATTCTAGGGGTTTCAAATATGTATATAAATCCCAAAACCCTATTTAAATATTCAACCATCTTTATACCTCCTTCGCTCAAACTCCAAGACAAATAGACAATGCACGATTTGAGTTTTTCCATGTCTTACATGCAACCTACACTTTCTGTTGCAAACCATGCCATCAGACATTGACCACTGTCTACTCTGGGAAGCACAACCATCTCCAGTTATTTCAATTTTATTGCAATATTATTTCAGTTTCAATTGTCTCGGACTATGTTTCTCTTACTTTTCCCTGTTCACTGTCTGCTTTCTATTTCAATTTGTTATAATGTTTCTCTTCCTTTACTATCTTATTGCCTCGTTTTGTTTCAATTTCATTTTTGGTTTCAATTATATTACACACTATTTTAGTCCAAACCCTTCGTCCTATTTTGGACTTCAATCAATCCTTCCCTTTATTACAGTTCTATGTTGATACGGAAATTAAAATTTTGACCTGTTTTTATTTTATATTATACAACACTTATACTTACAGGATTAAATAATAAATATCAGTATAACAAGTGAAGCTAGTATTAATAGTGGAAGGACCGAAGGAAGAATGGAAGGGCCCTATTGGTCTTCTTTATGGAAGACAGGAAAATGCAATTGAAGAATAAAAAGAGAAACAAAGGAATAGCAAATAAAGTAGGCATGTGATAAGGAGACAATGACAAAAATATTCCAAAACACAGCTCAATTTTGGTACCAAGCTAAGTTGTCTTTTAACATATTTAAGTTGCCAAGCTTTCATGCCATGCTAATAACTGTTGGAAGCTTTAGACTGAATTTGAAACCTCCATCTTACTATGATATAATAGTTCCACTCTTCAACAAGTTGGAGGACATTGAAGATTTGTTGAAAAGTCAAAACTAGTAGTGGGAAGATTTGAATGTTCTATCATGTTTAATGCATGGTTGGCTAGAAAATAGAGATCCTTAATCAACTTGATAAACCTTTTAGTAAGGACAATGTGGATTAAATCTATTTATGCATTAGATTAGACTTTGTGTGAAGTAGTTAGAAAATACTTCGTTGCTTGATTCCATTGGGGAAGAAAAGATCGTGCAAGTTAAAATGGACAAAGGAAGCAATTATGTTCTTATCTAGTAAACTCCAAGAAGAAAAAATACCACATTTGTGTTGAACTCCCAGTGAAACCCCATTATTGCATACATTTGATGTTCAAAGAGAGTAACAATTCAAAGGGTAATAATATTTCTTGTTGGCTTCATTAACAGAAGGGATTTGGTGAGACATGTAGTCACCTGATTTGAAGCATCCTTCTCAAAATGAAAAGGGTTCAAAAAGAGAAAGCAAGCATATGAAATGATTAGACAAAATTGTCAAAGGTTATGTATATATTTCAACTTTCTAGAGTAATGTAGTGTTTAGGTAATGACTCGTCTTGTGTGTACATTGTCTATTTGTCTTATTGAGAAAAAATCAACCATGGGTTATGTTTATAAGACAATGGAGAAGGCTACAAAAGCCTTTATCAAATATTTTGAGAACAATGAAAGTAACTATAAGTTTTTGAAATTACCAGTGGATTTGGAGGATCCTTAGATTTGCTTTCATTGTTCCCAAAAGATTGAATAATGGCTTCAGTTACTTATATTTTTTTTTCTTTTTAAATTTATTAGCTCAGGAAAACAGACAATAGGCTAAATTATTTATGACATGACAAAGATTGTAGTCATAATGACGACATTAGACTTGATGATTGATGAATAAGAGGATAATTAGCTTTGACTCTGTTACTTCTATGTTATTGGGTTTCTTTTTACATTTATTAGCACAGATAAGAGCTCACTATAAGTTATTTATGACATGACTAATGATTTTATTTTGCCAAACACGCAATTGTTATTAGCTCAATTCCAAATTTAAATTTAAAATTATTACACTAAGCATTTTGAGTATGGTATACAACTTTATATTGAAACAATATATTCCGAGCTTATTTTTCATTATATATCTGAATGAATCTTATGATTCAAATACAATTCATGATTCTAAAATTAGCGTATGAATTCACAATTTGAATCTTGAATCGATAAATATGCTAAATTGTACAAAGAAAAATCTATTACAAAGTGAGAAAACTAGCCCTTTCAGTAATCAGCATATTAAAATGTTCGGAATTATAGGATTTATCGAAGGAAGAAGGAAATAAAGACAATTACCAACAGTAATTCTGAGTATACGTCTATATGATTTATAGGATGCTATTCAATATCTAGACCTAATGCTCCCATTTATGAGTAATTATGTCAACTACTAATACTATTAGCTCAAGCTCGAGCATATACACAGACTATAACTCATATTTTAAAAAATAAAAAGTATAAATTAAACACACTTCCGGTGTGTTTTTGTGCACATCAGCTGGTAAATATAACAGGAAGTGAGATGCAGTGAATAGAAAAGTTTTAAAAAGATAAATTGTATAGAGATGAAATGTGATACCTGCCACCATGTACTTTCCATCCGGGGTAAATGTAGCCTCTATTGGAGTACCAGGAGACGGTTCCAAACTAAATCCACAGCGCTGCACAAGTTAGACAACTATCAACTTCCGCATATTTTGAATGTATTATTGCATAATGAAAATGTAATGCAAAAGATTCAATTACAAAGAAATCAACCTTCTCTCCTCCATATGCATCAAGAACATAAATATTGTTATTGGTAGTAGTCAGAAGCATTGATTTGCCGTCATTACTAAATTTGATATCACAAACTTCAGATGTGTCACCACCAACTAGAAAGGTGTCAAAGGGACCCTACACCAGTATGGGCAATGTCAAAGTTGTGAAATTATGAAAAGCATAGTAAAGGCAAGGGAAAGGTTATTAATACAAACCTTGTCATATGAACGAGAATCGAACAATTTAATAGCTCCCCCTTCCATTGCTACAGCAAAGACCAGGCCCTGTTGGTCATAGGCAACAGCAGGTCTACCACGAAGACGTAAAATGCCCTGAAAACTATAACAGTGAGCATAAATTGTAATTGTCTCTCCTATAAGTTTTCCTTGATGAACTGTGCAAATATAAATCTTTTGAAGCTCAACCATGGGTTCTACTTGCACTTGTGGTTATGGTAGTATTGTGGACATGGTTGTTGCAGGCCAACTGCAGTCAATGCAATTATCAATCACAGCCTAGTGTAATTGCAGTGACCACCACAACAAAGATGTTGTAACTGCATCATGTGATGCAGTCAGCAGTTTAAAACCTTGAGCTCAACTATAACAAAATGTTATCATATTAAATGAGTTCTGAAAAGCATATGTAGAAATAGTGGTCTACCTTTTATATATTTTACTTGGTAACCCTTGCACTATACAGTCTCTTCAGTCTTGACCAATATAACTAACATTAAAAATCTAGCTATTCTTTTAGTTGACATTCAAAAATCAAAACTACATTAAATGCTCCCGATCTCAATCCCCTGAAAAAAATGGGAAGAAAGAAATGAAAACTACCAACCTGGCAAGCATTTACTCGAAGATCCCATATCCTGACACTGTGGTCTAGAGAACCAGACATGAAGCTATCATTGATTGGAGACATGCAGAGAGAAACAACTCTATAAAGCACATCATAGGAAAGAAATCACTAATCAGCAATACGGTCATGTATAACAAAGGAATTGACATAATCAGAATCATTATTAAATTATTGTCCTGATTGCATATAAAACTAATCTATCTTATAGGGTTCAAGAAAGGATGGGGCAAAGGAAGGCTTACTTTACATACATCTATAAAACATAAAGCAGAATCAAAAGTTGTACTCCTCTTCATTGCTTAGCTCATTCTCTAAATCCATGGTAATTTTTTAAAGTCAATGATTAATGACTATCTTCTCTTTGGACAGCAAAATCACAATAAGACTAAGCTGTTTTTTTTATTAATAGGTATTATAGTGGAGTATGGCTTAGAGAAGCTCCAAATAGGGTTCCTCCTCATCAAGATGATGAAGTTTCTAGAGAAAGGAACAAATGTTTAAAGAGATATTTTCCGCATGTTGAAGAGGGAAAAAATGTTTATGAAGAATTCTCAAAATTCTTATCTTGTGTGGGTGACTTTGGTTCTTTTGATTCAATTGAGGATATGTGGGTATTAGATCCAAAAACACGGTGGGTGATACATGTTTCTACCCCTCAACTCCAAAAGCTTGCCTTAAAACTTCTTGTACAACCATGTTCCTCCACATGTTGTGAGAAGAATTGGAGTACATACTCCTTTATTCATTCTTTGAAAATAAACAACACGGATCCAAAAAGAGCTGAAGATTTAGTTTATGTGCACTCAAACCTTCGCTTTTGTCTAGGAAAAGTGAAGATTATAAAAAAGGAGAGACAAGACTGTGGGATATTAGTGGAGATGTTCATGATCCATTTGAAGATAGTACTGCTGGAATTCTTCAGCTGGCAGATTTGTCTCTTAATGGACTAGATTTAGAAGCTATGTTTTTTTTTTGGATGATGATAATGGGGGAGAAGAAATTGATAATGTTATCATTAGGCAGTAATTTAAATTTAGTAACTACTAATGATGCTTTGTAATAGTAGGCTACTGTATAAAGCCATGACTTGTTTTGAGTTCTAACAAAAATACAAGTAGAAACTGTATTTTTTGTTAGTTATGATCACAAGTATCTTTTTGGTAAATTGTGATTATCATAGTTATTAGTTATGAATTGTGAATTAATGAAATGATCAATATCTCTCCTTTTATACCAATATTTTATATTTATATAAAATTTTCTATACTTTTTTTAAACGTCCATAACATATCGTGTCCTTAATTTCAAAAAAAAAAATTGAATCCCCATATCCATGTTGTATCGTACCTATGTCATACTAAGTATCTAGGCTTCATAGAGACCAAAGATGTCCCAAAACAAAAAGTAAATGATACAACTATAGTCAATAAGAAATAAGACTTAATTTTTGCCTACAGGCTACAGCTTATAGCCACTAAGCAAAAGCACCTAGTTTTCCTTCCGCAAGGTGAAAAATTAATTCAGGAAAAAGTACACTCAAACCTAACCTCTGCTTATGCCCTTTGAAGTATCGTAGGCAGCGATTATCATACATTGATAAATACCACAATGATTCTGGCACACAAGGAATAAGAAGTCAATAATTGCAAACATAATTTGTAGCCCTTAACTAGCTGTTACATCAAATAAAATTGTCATATTGAGAAGCCCACCTCCAGTAGACTCCAAATTGTACTTTGAAGAGCATATAACAGAGCTCGAATGATGAGTAAAACATATACGATCGGTACCGTGTTTCTTATGATAAGTGGTCTTCAGCAACCTGAATTCATGGTAAAATGCATAAAAAATTAATCATGTATGAAGCAGTAATTAAATCATATAAACTTTATCATTTATTAGACCAACCATTTGCCGAGGAAAAAGAAAAGACTTAATTGGCATAATTATCAGTGGGTGAAAATTTATCATATTAACAAACTAAGCTTCTGCAATAAAGCAAAAAAAAATTTTCTGGATATAATGAAAACATAAGAACTAAATTGATTGTTTAGCATTTGATTCTTTCTGATTTCTTCATCCCAGGACTTTTCATCATATTAAGGTATGAGGTGCCTCAACTCAGAAGCATGGTTATCAATGGTTGATGGAAAAAGGATAAAATTCCACCATATAAACACACCATTGCAGCCTATAGCACCCACCATAGTGGGCCTTCCTTCACAAATTCCCCCTGTGGAAGGTCAAAAAATGCGGCATTATAGCAATATTGTGGGGCTATACAGTATTTAACAACTTGACAACTTTGGTCAGAAGAGATGATTGAAAGTGATCTCTAAAGAGTTTGAAATTCCTTTGGCTTATAGAATCATCATGGATCCTAAACTGATTGTTTAGAATTGGATTCTTTCTGATTTCTTAATCTCAGAGGACTTTTCATCATAATAAGGTATGAGGTGCCTAAAGTCAGAAGCATGGTTATCAATAGCAATGGTGGAAGTATAAAATTTCACCATATAAACACACCATTGCGGCCTATGGCACCCACCATACTGGGCCACCCTTCAAAAATTGCCTATGGCGGCAGGGTTGAAAAAAGCTGCAATATAGTGATATTGCGGCATTATAACAGTCATATAACATCATTGGTAAGAAGCGATGATTGAAAGTGATCTCTACAGAGTTTAAAGTTCTTCGACTAATAGAATCATTATGGATCCTAACTCTTGTGGAAAAAACCATTTAAGTTAATAAAATTGACATGATAGAAATTAAACAAAAGGAACATGAACCAGTGAAGCCATTTGCTGAATATGATAAAAGTGACATCAATTATCAAAGAGTAACTTAACACAAGCAAGTGTGGATACATCGGTGATAATAACCTTTTGGCTCTTTTCTAGTGCATCACACTCTAAGCCAGTACAGCCATTTCTGAGTCTATAATAGATGCTCAATAACAAATTAAAATCGCCCACCATTATACAAATTAAAGAAAAGCATTGAAATAAAATCACCACCATAAGTTAAGGCATATTATGAATAAAAAATTAAAAGCATAAAGCATATTATGAATCTTATTGCTCTCCCTTCAGGACAGCTGCAGTTACAGTACTATGAACGGGATTAGTTCCTTGCCCAATGGGTAAGGGATACCCGTGTCAGCAAAAAAATTCATAGAGCCATCAAATGGTTAAAAAATTAAAAGCAAAGCAAAATACAAGCATTCAATTTCCACAATTGTGACCAACAACTAGATTAATATTTTAAAGCGGAGATTTGCTTCTTTCTCACAAAAGTAAACTCACTTAGCATTAGCGATGTCGTATAGTCGCACTGTGTCATCCTCACTTGCCGTGACAAGTAAATCATCCGTTCTATGGAAATCAATCGAATGTATTTTCCCACCCTGAAAATACAAACATAATTAAACCTTACAGAAAAGACACATTTGCGACGAAGCCACCATTTCACTGCCAAGAACAAGATCAAAGACATAACCAAATAGAAGAAACTGATCAAAGGGGCGAAGGCATTGTTCGTCAAAAACACTTGACTAGGCAATATTCCAAAAATTAACAAAGATTTATTGCTAACAAAAAAGTAAAAGCTTAATAATCTCAATAATTTGCTCCAAAATAAGAGCTGCAATAAGTTCAAGCAAAATCATCTCTGCCAGTAATGCTGCATTCAGAATGATATTGGTAGAAAAGGTTCGATAATAGATTAATGGACCCTAACAGGATTATTAAGGAAACGCAGAAAAGGGTTAAAATGTGAGAGCAGTGGAATTAAAAGAGAAAAGAAGAGTTACGAAGTCGGAGAAAACGGCTCCTATGGACATGCTGCGAACTAAATCATCGTCAAGTTCGGAAAGAGACGTCGTCGTCGTCATCTTCGCCGACCAGAGTAGCAGGAAGTAACGGAGCAGAACCACTCGTCTCTTTTTCTCTGTTCTTTTACTGTTGGTAGGACAGGTTGGGATATTCGTCTATTTATTAGTAGTTTCAATTTCAGGAGCCACCCGGTTGTCAGTGTAATTTGATTTTAGCCTAATTGATAATTATAATTTTGGTACTTCTTATTTATTTTTTTACTTTTTTTATTCATATAACTTAAACTTGGTACTTTAATATTGGTAGTGCATGATTTTTGTTCTAAAATTTTAAATTTTGGGATTTTATTGTTTTAACTATAAAAATCAAAATTTTGGTTAAGTGTATGTAAACGTGTTTGAGAAAAAAGTTCTCACAGCAAGTTATGGTTTTTTTCTTCATTTTAGTTTCTCAATTTTTTTAATTTTTGATAAATGTTAAGACAAAAACTAAATGAATGTATTGGATTAGGATTTTAAAGATTTTTTTAGTTAAAAAAAGTCACGTGAATTTTAAAAAAATTTGCATAATTTTCATGATTTTTAAAATTTTACGGGAAGACTTTAAGTCGGAATTTTAATGGATTCTACATAACTTTTAAGTCAAGATTTTAATGTATTCTGTAAGACCTTGTCAACTTTGTACAATTTCGTGGATTTTTGACTTACGATAAGGGTTCAAGATTGTTTTCATACATTCAAATTTAAAGAGTTAAGAAAAAAATAATAAAAAAATAATAATAATGTCTGGATAAATAATAATAATAATAATAATAATTCTTTGTAATATTATGTTCTTGAAAATAGCATTCACTCACATATTCATAATTATACTAGTTTTCTAAGCATCAGCGTCTTCTCGTTTTTGCTCATGAGTTTGAATAATAGACTCAAAATTATGATATTCATTAATCGATAATATTGAAGATGAAGGTTCGTCCACCAGTTGAATTGAAAATTCATCAAAACGACATTCTTTACGAAGAAATTCATGTAGTGGTGCACATGCTAACATAAGTTCTACTTGTGTCTTAAATAAAAATTGAGGTGCTAACTTAAAAATTGTGAACCTTGATTTAAAAATACCAAATATTCTCTTGATCACATTCCTTAAAGACGCGTGACGAAGATTAAACAATTCTTTCTCATTTTCTGTGTCATCATCCTGACCTGCAAAATCTTGTAGATGATATCTTACACCTTGAAATGGAGCTAAAAATCAGTGTCAGGTAGGAAATCCACAATCCACCAAGAAATATATACCTGATTACATATGCAATATATATAATATTAGTATAATAATAACAATAACAATAATAATAATAATATTTAAAGAAGAAACATCTACCTTGAGCCACCTTAAGTCCGTTCTTCCTTGTTATAGCATCATTTAGTAGCTTAGAATCATGAGCCGAAGCCTCCCACCCACTAAGAATGTACATGAACTCCAAATCAAAATTACAAGCAACTAATACATTTTGTGATATCTTTACATGATGATTATGATAATTGCTTACATCTCGCCCCCTCACCATTGTTGGAATATGTATCTTGTCAATAGCTCCAATGCAATCCTAAAATTTAGCATACATAACACTTCCTCGTATGAAAAATATAAATATAGTAGTGTCAAATTTTATTATAATTTTTATTGTAAGATAATTAGTACATACCTTGAAGAAAGGGAAGAACCTTGTGCTTTCTCAAATTTTAGCTAGCATAGTTGATCCTGGTTTGGCCATCAAAGTAGGTGTTATCGTATTCAAAGCCTTTAAAATCTTGTGAAAATTTTCACTTGTAGCAAATTGTGATCTGCCAAATGTGTTACAAACTACACAATATCGAGTATTCTGACTAATAATTTGTAGGAATGATGCAAGCATTTCTTCAACACAAATATATCGTGTATCCTCTAGAGGTATTTTTTTCTAAGAATTACACATAACTTTCGAAACACAGCTGGATACATCCTATAAACTTGTCAAAATATTGCAAGATAGAGTAAGTCATTTAAAAAGAACGAGAAAAAAAATAGAGCAAGTCAATGGCATTGTCATTTACATACTGGAGTTTCACCAAATAGGGGAATGCAATGGAAATAATAGCATAGTATTATATATGAGCAGTAATGCAGTATTATTAGCAGAGAAAAAAAATGGAGAAGATAGGAACATAAAAAAATGAAAAACTCACTTGAAAATTCTTAAAGCACTTGAAAAGTCACTTCAAACAATTTTCCAAAATCTGATGGATTTAGATGGGATTGTTTTATGAATTTGGTATTTATAGATACCACTAAAAAGTCCTTCAAAATCTCTCTAATACAACAATCATTTAAAATCCTTATATTTTTTTAAAACCAATAGATTGTTTTTAAGTTATAAAAAAGTCTCAAATGAATACTAATGGATTTTAATAGACTTTTTAAAAAATCTTAAAAAGGATATACACAGGTTGTAATTACTGTAGACACCCAATTTCGTCCGAGGGCATACAAACTACAAGATAGGACATCAGAGGGCCCAAAAGCCCAAAATCAATTGTTTTTAGTTGCCCGAAACGGGCCGTTCCACAATTAGAACGGGTCGTTCCCAAGTCCGGAACGGGCCGTTCTTGAATTGGAACGGGCCGTTCTAAGACTCCTAAAAGGCCTAAAAATTGTAGGTTAGAACGGGCCGTTTCAGACCAGAACGGGCCGGTCCAAACCAATCAAAGGGCTTAAAAAACTTGGTCTGGAACAGGCCGTTCCTAAACCAGAACGGGCCGTTCAAAAAGGTTAAAAGACATAACAAACCTAGTTTTGAACAGGCCATTCTGGGAAGGGAATTTAGTGTTAATTTGTACCCCGGAACGGGCCGTTCTGATTTCAAAATAGGTCGTTCTAGGGTGCAAAATTAACACATAACGTTCTGATCCGGAACGGGCCGTTCCGAATCCAGAACGGGCCGTTTCGAATCTAGAACGGGCCGTTCTGGCCCACATCTGATGCTTATAAATAGAAATCTCGGGCACAGTTCTCAGGGCCCCCAAAAATTTCGTCCAGGACTCTTTAGAGCTCGAAATTTCTCTCTCTCTCTCTCTCCTATTGTATTTCTTGAGTATTGTGAGGCAATTGTAGTGTGAAAGGTTGTCACAAAGCACCTAGATTTTTCATATCTGAAGATCCAACAAAGCTTGCCACGAGGTATTTCATTTAATCTTCTTCTTTCTCTTTTATTTCTTATTTTTAATATACATTGTTATAACAAAAGCAATCATGTAGACGTTTTAGGGTCAACCGTATAATTTAAATTTCAAGCATGTAAATAATTATTAATAAAAGGGATTTAATATTTCTATTATTATTATTTATAATGCTAACTTCATCATAGGGTACCGATTAAGGGCGTTGTAGGGGTGCTTAATACCTTCAAACCATTAGTCGGGAGATCAGAAATTTTCGGGTTGTGATAGATGGCGACTCCACTGGGGAAGTTTTAAGAGGGTTAGGCCCATATAAATGATGAAGTTAATAAAAATAAGAATAATAATTTAAATATTTTTCCCCTTTACTTTGTTTGTTTTATTTGTGTGGCTTTAATATCTATTTGCTTGTTTAAATTATGCACCTGTTTGAATAAAATTGTACACAATCCTTTGCACACTACAGTTCCCCCTACACCCCAGGGCATGAGGGTAATAAACATAGGGAGTGGTTGACGTACGACTGGCCCAAGTTTGGCCTTGAAGCCTGCAAGCCTTGTCGGAAATCACACTCAAGGTGATAACCGGTTACTCTAGCCCGAAATACTGCGACAGACCTTAGAGTTTGCCAAGTGACGGCGACAGAGATATTGGGTTCCTATAATGGGGGTATATTATATAACTTAATTACATTATTTATTATTTATTGTTATTTTGATAGGAAAATTTCGACATTCCCAACACTAAGATCATGAGGAAGAAGATGTTATCTTCCCTTGCCACTAGGTGGTTAAAAAATGAAGTAATCACAATCTTGTGTCAATTGGAAATATATTTTCCACCTTCATTTTTTGATATCATGGAGCATTTGATAGTTCATTTGGTTAAGGAGATTTGATTGTGTGGCTCGGTTTATCTTAGATGTACCCTGTTGAGAGATACATGAAGATCTTAAAAGGATATGTCAAGAATCAATACCAGCCTGAAGCCTTTATTGTGGAGAGGTACATTGTAGAAGAAGCCATTGAGTTTTGTTCAGGGTACATGTCAAAATTAGAACTAATAGGAATTTCTAAGACTCGACATGATGGGAAACATTTTGGTAAGGGTACTCAAAGTTTAAATATTAGAACTGTGAGTCGAACAGTAGTTGACCAAGCACATTTGTACATATTGAACAACACTGATGAAGTAATTCCTTACATATCGCAACACATACATGAAATCAAGATAACACACCCTCGAATGAATGAAAAATGGGTATTGAATGAACATAACAAGAGTTTCTTAGCTTGGTTTAAGAAAAAGGTTTACGGTGGGGTTAATGCTTCTGATACACTTTTGAGACTCGCTCATGGGCCTAACAATGATGTCATTACATTTGGTGGGTATGACATTAACAAATATTGTTTCTATACAAAGATAGAAGATGACAAAAGTAGAGTAAAAAATAGTAGGGTTACAATTCAGACTGAGTTTGTGCACTTTGCTAATCTTAAAGATAAAAATCCCATTACAGCATCCATGAGTTATTTTGGAGTCATACAAGACATATGGGAAATTGATTATGTTACGTTTAGAGTGCCTATGTTCAAGTGTAAATGGGTTGATGGCAATATGGGTGTGCAGACAGATGATTTAGGGTTTATTTTGGTTGATTTGAACAAGGTCAGTTATAAGGATGAACATTTTATTATGGCATATCAAGCAAGGCAAATTTTTTATGTCAGGGATCCATGTAATAAGAAATGGTCAGTGGTCCTCGAAGGAAGAACCATGCACGGAACTCACAAAGACGAGTCTCTAGATATGCATGAGACACCGTCTTTCTCAAGTACATCATTTGGTGCTATTGTGGACAATGAAGTGAATGAAATGCATGCTATTCGAAGTGATCATGATGAAGGAATATGGGAAAACATACCAACCT